CTTTAGAGTGCTATGTTTTGTTATTTTTCATATTATTGAATCAATAAACCTGGAATAGGATCCTCTTTGGATCCATCTTGTGGGGATTCTAGGGATTCCCACATTCTAGTAGTTCATCGTATATCGTGCAGTCAGTTTTCGTCAAGTACTATTTGTGTTTAATTTTAAATAAAAAAGGTCAAATAATTTTTTACCACACGATACACGATGAATGACTAAGATGTGAGGATCCCTAATATTCCCACAATTTGGATCCATATGGGATCCCATTCCAATAAACTTTGAGGTCTTCTCGTATTTTTTTAGTGGAAACCAGTTCTATTATCCATTATAGGTTATCCTTTGATACCATTTGTTTGTTATGAAATTAATTATAAAACCGCAATCATATAATTCAAATGTAATAATAATAGTTAAGATGCTAATCAAAATTGACATACTTGTTGATACACCCTCTAATATAACTATATAAATAAGTAAATTTGTATGACCTATCAACAAATATGCCTATTTTTTAAATAGCATGACTCATCCAATGTGATTTCATCTAGTTAATAATTGTGATCCAAAGTCGACAACATAGCATAACAAACTAGATCAATACAAATATTCTAAAACAACAATGATGAGGATATATAATTTATAAGGAATAACAGACGATCTCTGGAAAAGAAAGAACTGCCATGGATCTAACTACAAATATTTAAGATATATTTAAAAGTGAGAGAGCTTGCTTTGACATCGATCAAACCAATGAATTAATGGGGATTGACGAATGTGTGTTGTATGGGTTCGTACAGTTGAAGTGATCACCAAAAAGAGTAGGGAAGCTGGCACAACACCAACACATGCATGATGGGATTCTGTCATGAAAAGCCTGACATATACCAATATATAAAATCTGTGGTTTTGTGAGTGCTTCATAGAATCATAGGGATCATTATCTCATGGGTCTGTGACTTGTCCACTGGGTAGAGATCGATCGAGCCTAATGTTCCTTATGGGGACCATGTGGATTGAGTGATGCGTTATCATCACCTCATTTTGTTTAAAGTCCAAACCCTATAATGGCATCATACTGATCATTATTTGTATGCACGTGGCCGCTTTATCTTTATAGAAGCTTCATTTGTGGGGTTCACTCCCACCGTGGCCGCAGTCTGCAGGGAGGAGAGTTCGGATCAACTTAGTAGGGGTTTAGTATGTGTCAAACATTTGGAAGGGGTGGGACAATTAGCGTTTAGCAAGTATGATGACATCCAATTTGATAACATTAAACCTCAACTTAAGCAAGATATTAACTGATTATTTATTGCCGTATTCTATCTTATCAGAAACTCATATTACTTTAAAGATGAATAACTTTCGCAGATAAGTTTCTTTCCTTGTAAATTAGTTATAATGGCTATACAAGTAAAGGAAGTTATCAAACATTTATGATAAGAATCAAGCTTGATTAATTTGGTTTCCACGTTGTCCAGTCCACCAACCCCTTGAATCTTACGTACTATCCCTCAATCCCTTTTTTTTCCTACAAAAATTAGTGGCAAAACCTAAATTAAATAAAATTTAAATGAGAATATAATTCAATTTATTAAGTGCTATATATACACTTTAATATCCTTCCTTACTTGATATAGTTTATATATATATATATATATGGGTTGTGTAGTAAGATACGAATCCAGAAAATGGTACAAACTTATTTTTGGCCCTCTACTACAGTGGTAGAGAGGAGTGTTCTTACACCACGGCGTATGTTCGAACCTCGTTGATTCCTTAATCTAATATCTAATCTAACAAATCTATCGTTTGACGAAAACAAAAAAAAATTGGTACAAACTTCGGATGGAGTTGGTGTACTTGCAACTTGCTTATATTCCCAACTCATAATTAGAAATAGAGTAACGCTAGGTAAACCAAATTTGCAAATCAAATGATAAATCACCAACAAGAAATAAGCACGTTAATCAACACTTAAGTAATAATCCAATCATTAACTTTCATGCCATTTTGTTTATAAAATTTGGTCTATAAATTTAGTCTTCCTAGCATTACCTTTTGTTGATGCACAAAACTGGAGGTCTTGGAACAACGTAAATTCGACCATGAATTTGTAAGAAATGTAAACAACACAAGATGTATCGTGGTTCACCCCAATGTTTGGGCTACGTCCACATTGATATTGTATTTCTGAGGGGGAGAGAGAAAGCCTCTGTAATGAATCTGAGAAGCTCTGAGAGTGAGAGCTTGAAGGGGTGAGGAGCCTTAGGAATTGACCTCCCTAATTGTGAGGGTGAGGGGTCATTTTATAGAATAAGGACTCCTCACATATTATATATTTTCCCTTTATAGAATAAGGACTCCTCACATATTATATATTTGCCCTTTCCTTTATTACATAATTACATCTAAGTTCCCTGAGTATTTGTACGAGATCTCAATACAGATGCCCTAAATATGGTATAAACAATAGTCCCCCAAGTCTTCAGTCAAGAGAGTCTTTTGGCTGAAGACTTGAAATTCAGTCCATGTGTGGGCCGAAGTAACTAGATGTTGCCTTGAATTGATTCTTGATATGAGGCGGTGCTCAATCTGAAATGATGTTGAACTAGAAGTAGCACATGCTGCGAGGCTGCTCGGCTCATGGCTTATGTTGCCTTGGTTGACTCGACTTGTGGCGTTGAAGGTAAGGGAGTCCCTTTTATAGAATAAAGGCTCGCTCTTCAATACATGAATGATGGACTAGAGTTGATGCTCTCTAATGATGGTGATGGAGTCCTTTTTATAGAATAAGGACTCGTTCCTCAATACATAAATGATGGGTGCTTTCTACTGAAAGAGAGGGAGTCACTTTTATAAAATAAGGGCTCGCTCCTCAATACATGAATAATGGGTTAAGTCCCCCAAGTGTTTTTCATGAGGCCCAATTGAGGCCCAATATATGGTACATAATGTAGTCCCTCAAGTCTTCGGTCAATAGAGTCTGTTGGCTGGAGACTTCAAATTGAATCCATGTATGGGCCGAAGTGGCGGTTATTCGAATGCGGTATTTGTATACCTTGCACTGAAGCTTTGTAGGTGAAACTTTGCAAGTGAAGCTTTGAAGCTAGAGCTCTGCAAATAAAGCTTTCAAAGCTGGAGCTTTTGTAAATGAAGCTTTTGAAACTAGAGCTCTGTAAATGAAGCTTTTGAAGTTAGAGATCTCTCTGTAAATGAAGCTTTTGAAACTGATTGACATGAGTGATACTCATGAATGTTTAAGTTGATTGACATGAGTGATGCTCATGGATGTTGTCATGAGTGATGCTCATGAATGTTGATATGAATGATGGTCATGAATGTTTATGTATGATTGTCATGAGTGATGATCATGAATGTTTATGTATGAATGACATAAGTAATGCCCATGTATAATTTGGAGTACTGGGCGTACTTTTGATCACCTGGTTGGTGGCATGAAGAAGAGTACGGGTTGTACATTTCATCACCTGGTTGGTGGCATGAATGGCTAGTTGCCAAATGATATTAGAGTACGGGTTGTACATTTCATCACCCAGTTTATGGTAATATGGTGGGTTGCCGAATAATTTTGGAGTACTGGGCGTACTTTTGATCACCTGGTTTGGTGGCAATAACGGCAAGTTGCCGAATAATTTTTTGTAGTATTGGGCGTATTTTTGGTCACTTGGTTGGTGAGAATAAAGGGCCTGACTCTTTTGGGCATATGAGCCTTCGCTCTTCACACAACATTTCAGCCTATTTATTTTGGGCTTTGCCTTTTTTATTTTTTTATTTTTTATTTTTTTATTTTTTTATTATTACCCTCTGATGGGGTTTATACAGATGTCTTAGAAAGATAAGAAAAATAAATTACATCATAAAAAAACAAAGATCGTTGGTGCGTTGCTTTTGCTTTTGCTTTTGTTTTCTACTTTACTTTTTCTTTCGTTTTCTGTTTTGCTTTTGCTTTTGCTTTTCCACCACTCTCTCTATCTCTTCACCTGGCAGACAAAATGAATCGTAATCATAGGAAAATTCTTGCTTTTCTTCTTTTCTCTTTTCCTTTTCCTTTTCACTTTTGCTTTGCTTCTTTTCTTTTTCTTTGTTGCATGGTTTTGCTTTCTCCGTTTACTGCACCTCTTTCTGTCTCTGAGTTGTCATGCATGTGCACCCTGTACTAAAGTAAGTATTGGAAAAGAAACACCGACATCTATGAGGAACGCCGACATCCAACCGTCTGCAACGATGTGAGTCACAGGAGCATCGCCAACCGTGTGGTTAAGTTGGCCTAGCACCTCGCCGCAGAACCACTCACAATCTAAGATCAAAAACCTGAGCTCATCAAAATAAATTATCTCTCTTAAGTGTGGTGAAGGCAAGCAGCAACAACCCGCCTCCTCGTTTCCACTTTCTTTTTGTTATCATGTCTTATCAAACTCTTAATGATGGCACCTTAACTTGGCATAGCTCGTTGAACTCCTTCCACTGCATCGTTGGCTTGTTGTAGTTCTCTGATCTCCAATCTGATAATATTTGTGTCAGATCGTTGCACAGCTGATAGATTCTTATGACTCTTTGGAGAACTGTCTTGCTTGTCTTTAAAAGGTGATGAGTGAGCTTACTCACTGATGCTGATGATCTGTAGATGCACAACGACGAGCTGCTTACCTGGTGATTTTGGCATTGAATGCAGCATCTTGTCCAAAAGCTTGACAATAGCTTCAAATTCATATTCCATAACATGGACACTGTAGAACTGTATATTTGCGAAGATAGCTCCCTCGTCGGAGATATAATCATTCCCATCACCTTTTGAGGTTTTGGAGTGGTTGAAGCTCGCCGGAGTATCTCCACCATCGGGACCACGAATGCTAGGGTCTTTTCCTTTTTATATTATTTTCTTTCCACTGCGCCTCTGTCAGCGTTTTGGTTGAAAGATCCACTTTGATCCGTTTTGGTTGAAAGATCCACCACAGATAATCACCCCCACCACTCTCTCATTATTTTCCTCAGTGACGTAGTCACACCATGCACATACATACATGGCATAACTTCTAAATATTTCCCTCAGCAGGCATAGAACTCGACTAACTCGTCCATTGACTTGGGCTGTGGATCGACATTCTCGAGCATCCACAACAAGTGCTCAAACAGCACCACCTTGCATGCGATGTTGATCGTGTTGTGGTCTGACCTGTTGGCCATCTCCTTGAGAAGCGGGTGGTTTACAACGTCGGAGGCCACAAGGTAACATCTTCTAGACTTGCCCACATAGACGGGGCGGAGATCTCCTGAAATTATTCCGTCGGTGGAGTAATCTTCATCTGCGGCAGAGACCACAGAGTTGAGGCTGTGGCGGCTGTTCTGCTTGCTAAAGGAGTTCCACTTCTTCAGCACTGACTTGAGCTTTGTTAGCTTCCCATCTTTGGCCATTGATATGAATGGTTTTCAGAAAGAGAGAGAGCCTGAATCGAGAGCTTGAGATTTGGTTTTAGAAGGAGAAACAGAGAGTGGGGAGATGACAGGGAGGAGCAAAACGACATGCTTTAAGTGGAGGTAGATACTCTCTCTCTCTCTTTGTAGATTGAATGGGTGTGTCTCTGAGTGTGGGTGTTGGGTTGTTTGGTTCTTGGTTTCTGCAGATTCACAGTGGTGAGATTTGATGAAAAAATAAAAAAGAGAACCGACATAATTTTTTATGTCGATTCCCACAGACGGCACCAAATGTTGATGCACAAAATTAGAGGTCTTGGAACAACGTAAATCCGACCGTGAATATGCAAGAAATGTAAATAACACAAGATGTATCATGGTTCACCCCAAGGTTTGGGCTACGTCCACACTGATATTGTATTTTTGAAGGGGAGAGAGAGAGCCTCTGTAATGAATTTGAAAGATTCTGAGAGTGAGAGCTTGAGGGGTGAGGAGCCTTAGGAATTGACCTCCCTAATTGTGAGGGTGAGGGGTCTTTTTATAGAATAAGGGCTCTTCACTTATTACATATTTGCCCATTCCTTTATTACATAATTACATCTAAGTCCCCCGAGTATTTGTATGAGATCTAAATACGAAGGCCCTAAATATGATATAAACACCTTTAGAAATATTAAAAAAAAAATTTGCACCACATGAAAAATAATTAATGGCTAAATTAAACAAATTGAATTTGGTTTAGTAATCATAATGATGTTCAAGAGATGTTTTCTTATGTTTTATATGAGTAGGTTTATTATTATTAGCTAGCCTTCCACATGGTTAGGAGGGTTTCTTTAACAAGCTTAATGAAAACCAATAATCTATTATTGTTTGCGAGTATATACTATGATGAGGAAGGTTTTGCGCTTAATAATTCCAAGCAGTACGTTGTGTAAATTGAAACCAATATACTTTATAGCGTGTTTACTAACCCGTAATCGCAATGAGAAGGTATTTGGATTTTGGATTGCCCAAGAAATCGGAATGATAATTTTTTTCCCTTTATGCCGTCACTTACTTTCATTATTTCCAAGATTGTCCTTAACCCTAGACTCACATTAAGCACAACTCCATACATATGCCGAAGAGAAAAAACTACAACTTGAATGAGAAAATTTAAATATTAAAATAAATACTTAAATTTATAAAAAAATAAATGAACAAAATCATTTTAGTGTGTCTATGAAATAAAAAAGCAATTTAATTTTTTCTTACTATTATATACTATATCAAATTTTATTAAAAAAAAAGTATATAAATATTTGATTTAGGACAAGGGCATTTTAGTAATCATACTGGTTTATATTCCGATTCTGCAGAATTAGTAAACAGTTTTATGAAATTCTATTCCGATTCCAGACAATTTTAGTAAACAACTTCAACAGGAATCTGATTCTGATTCCGCCTCATTTCATTTCCTCTTCAATCCAATTCCTCCTCAATTCAATTCCTCTCAATTTGATTACGAATTAGTAAACGTGCCCTTATAGTAGAACGAATAATGTATTTTTGTGATGAGATTGATATTAGTTAAGACTAGCTTCATCTTTATAGATTTTTTATTATTTATTGACTATAAAGCGTATTCAAATTTACGTTTGTGATCTGTGATCCTGAAAACTTTTAATTCTACAATTTTAATTGGATAGCTCTATCCAAACACTTATTTTTATTTCTTGCACAACCCTTTTAAATTTCGGCATTCGGATCAAATGAACTGAAAAAGATTAATGACAAAAAATTAACAAAAATATGTAGAAAGTAAAATAGGTGAATAGAACTACCCTTTTAATTTTTCTCCTAATCCTTTATCCTTGGACAACCATCTTTTGTCGCTAATCCATTATCCCAATCAAACGGCCCAAGACAAGACATGGACACTTCAACACATTCACGCCATATCAATCACCACATGAAGCACACCGTAACCAACAACCCTCTCTTTTTCCCACTCCATATTTTCCCCAACAAAGTCTCACGACTCGTATCCCACATAGACACAGAAGGGGAACGATATCGTTTTATGAAGAAAAAAAAGGAAAGAAACTATAAAAAGCTATCAGATACTAAAATATCCTACATTAGTTTCTTTCTCTCCTCTCTTCCCCTCCTTTAGATTCTTATTTAGAAATCAGATCCATCGATCCATTTGTCGATTCTCGAAACCATCCGTGTGCTTCCCCCACCACCCTCCCATACCCCCCACTCTTTCCTTTTTCTATATATACCCACCTCCCATACCCAAACATATACATATAAATATATACACACACACTGAGCTTGTAGAGAGAGAGAGAGAGAGACTGTGTGTGTCTACCAAGTATTAAAAACCCCATGGATTTCCTCTTCTCATTTTTCTTGGTTTTCTGTCTCCTTTCAACCCTAGTTTTTATTTTTCTCAGAAAGTCTAGGTGCCGGAGGCTGAGGCTGCCTCCGGGGAACCTAGGGTTACCATTTATAGGGGAGACTCTGCAGCTTATCTCAGCCTACAAGACTGAGAACCCGGAACCGTTCATCGACGAGCGCGTGAACCGGTTCGGACCCTTGTTCACAACTCACGTGTTCGGAGAGCCGACCGTGTTCTCCACCGACCCGGAGACCAATCGTTTCATCTTGCAGAACGAAGGGAAGCTGTTCGAGTGCAGCTACCCGGGCTCCATAACCAACCTTATGGGGAAGCACTCTTTGCTGCTGATGAAGGGCAGCCTCCATAAACGGATGCATTCTCTGACCATGAGCTTTGCAAACTCTTCGATCATTAGGGACCACCTTTTGGACGACATAGACCGGTTGATCCGGCTCAACATGGATTCCTGGGCCGACCGGATCTTTCTCATGGAGGAGGCCAAAAAGGTAGGGTACAACTTTTCTTTTTAAGATAGGATTAGGGCATGTTCGGAATTCGAAATTAAGACCTTAAAAGATGAAAGTATTACTTTTCTTCACCAAGTTAGAAATAGAAGATGGTGTTTTCTTTTTACATGTTAAATATGGGAGGTATTTTAGTCTGTTCAGAACATAAACACATACTTTCATTATCTAAACAAACAACTGAACTTCAGCATGTCCTGCTTACACCCAATTCCAGCTTGAACACATGTTTAGCAAGCCGGAATTGGATGTAAGCAGGACCTGCTGCTGAATTCTTCAGAAGTTCTTTCCCTAAACAAATAGCGTACAACTCAATATTCTGGACGATTAAAAAAAATCTGTCGTTAAATACCGGAGTTGGTAAACTTTTCTTGCTTTTCTTGTTGTTGTCGTTTATTGAGTTAAATACAAAGATGATGTTTGGACACTTAAAATCGATACACTTATTAATTATTTAGTATAGGTCGAGATCACTTATAATTATATAAGGAAAATCTCTTTTTTAGGGATCTCATGATCTGAACTGTCCACCGTATAACGTAGTTTTCGTTGGACACTATTTATATTTAATTTTAAATTTTAAATTGATTTTTGATTGCACAATCTACTATGGACGATTCCGATCACAAAATCCTTAGGATCCATAGGAAAATGATTCGACAAGGATCTTTTTTCATCATATGATATGAGTGATTCATACTAGAGAATTTTTTAGATTAGAGAGGCAACAGAGTTCAAACTTATGTCGTGATGTAAAATCAACACTCTTCTTCACCGCACTACAGTAGAAGGCCACTTGCAGAGAATTTGTTTGAGAATTTGTCAATTTCGTGCATCAAAATAGTTGTATTATAAATGCAAAAGTGATATTTGACAAACTTGTTTTTTTCTTATTCCTCTAAAAGTAGAGGACAAAGGTAAAGTTTGTTTAGAATGTTTTAATAAAAAGTGATTTTCAGAATTAATCGTATCCCATTGGTTGGTTTAATTTAATTAATTAATTTATGATGGTATATGCCTGGGTTCACCGTTCATGTCAAAGAGAAATGGAGGTAACTAGATCCCATGAAGAGATTTTTCATTATGGTTAGAACACGGAACGCTACACTACATGTTATTATATAATTAGAGAAATACTTAAAAAAAAAAACAAGAACTTTCCTTTAATCGGATGATGACATTTAGTGTACCGCTCGAGTTCCAAACACACTGAAATTTTGTTCGATCCCCTAGATTGGGTTAGATACATGCAAGTGAAAGTAAGAAAAATAAAACCGTTCCCTTGAGCCATCATTTTCATGCTAGCTCATACACTTCTTGATTTATATTTTTTGGATCCTTTATTAATTATAGTTTACGTTAGTGAATTAATTATTTAATTAAATTATGTGCAGATAACTTTTGAACTAGCAGTGAAGCAACTCATGAGCTTTGATCCAAATGAATGGACCGAGAGTCTAAGAAAGGAGTACGTCCTACTAATCGAAGGCTTCTTCTCCGTTCCTTTGCCTCTAGTTTCCACCACCTACCGCCGGGCCATTACCGTAAATTCCTCTCTTTTTCTTGCCCGTTACTTAATTTATTGCGTAAATAGAGTAATGCTATTTGAAAACACATTTAGAGAATGTTAGCAAGTGTATCGGTTTTGCATCTAAATAATATTATTGATGTCATTAACGTTAATTAGTTAATCAAAATGGGAATTTGAACTTGAAGGCTAGGACAAAGGTGGCGGAAGCGTTGAGCTTGATAGTGAGGCAGAGGAGGGAGGAGAGCGAAGCCGGGAAGAGAAAAGAGGACATGTTAGGCGCACTTTTGGGCGGAGACACCGCATTCTCAGATGAGGAGATTGTGGATTTCTTGCTTGCTTTGCTGGTGGCTGGCTACGAAACCACTTCAACAATCATGACACTTGCCGTCAAGTTCTTAACGGAGACACCTCTGGCCCATGCTCAACTCAAGGTGCCACTCTACCCGCATCCTTTTTCTTTTCTCACTTTATTTGCCTAGTGGGGACTGCCAGTCTTGCAACTCCCATCATATGTTCGTGTTACTATGTTAGGCATTTCAACATCCACATTTTTCTTATCTAAATCCTCAACCATTCACATTGTTTGGATTAGTTATTTTAGATAACTTTGGATGTGTAATTGATTAAATCCGCATTTACGTACGTAAAATTATCTAACTTAATTACGTATTCTCGTAGTCACTTAGTACTACAGTCTATTGGTATTCCTCTTTACTTGAAAGTGAGAAGTCTTATGTTCGAATCTTGTCAAATGCAATTTGAATCACATTATTACTAACATATTATGAGACTAAGTCAATCCCCTCCCCCTTATTGTAAATAATATTGTTTGTGAAAAAATAAAATAACGTATACTCGTAATATGTAAACTAAAAAGATTGTTGCATGTGATGTTTGCAGAAAATTAACAGATGAATTTTGCTAGAGTCAGTCGCTCTACTACCAATGCATGTATTGCTCATTTCTTACGTAACGTACCATAAATTCAAGATAGTGAAATATATACTCTCGTTTTTTACTTCAGCATTCTTCATGATGTTGGTATTTTTTCAGTTTTCTTTCGATTTATTCAATCTTAGAACAACGAATAAAAAAGAAGTGTCCAACCGTAAAGGGAAGTCCAAAAATTACTTTCCTAGCGAAATCAAGGAAAATGTAGCGTAAAGTGTTGGATGGTGGTCAAAAATAGAGTAAAGTAGAGAATGTAAAAGTGAGACAACATTCGGATAAAACCAACGGACAAAATGATGGACTTGGATTGTCTGCCCTTTCATTTCGTTACTCGTGCTTTTTTGTTTGTGTGGTCACGGTTAAGTTACGTCAATATTTTATATTACTATTTCTTTTTGTTTTATTATTTTTATAAAAAAATAATATAAAATGTTGACGTGATGTAACCGTGATTACACAAAATAAGAGGGCACGGAGAGGATACCGAAATAGGAGGGCAGACAATCCAAGTCCCAAAATGATGGTATGTCCTTCCCTCCCTTCCAGACTGCACGCTTCACTGTGCTGTAAATATTGTCGGATTCTCGTCAGATTTGGTCTTTTGACCACATCGCCTCTATTTGCTTCACGTGCACCTGGTTTGGGAGGGTGTTTTCGTCATTCTACTTCCTCCTACTTTATGGCTTTTGGACCCTAGGGTCCCAAAGCTGGGCCATTGGGAATCGGGTGGTTCTGATTTCTAGGACCTCAAAAATCCAACGGTGTAAAGAGTGGTAGGGGGTTGTAGTAATGGAGTCAGCACACTAGCTTTGTTACCATTTTTCGATTCCTAGGATTGTTTTGGTGTCTGTGCACTCGTGTGATGTTCCAAGCTCCACCGTTGGATTGTCTCCTTACCCGAAAGTTCTAGAGTGGACCGGCTCGTAGCCTGGATTAAGATCTAGAACAGTGACAAAAAAATTTAACGTTGAAGTATCTCAATTCGTGCTATGCGCCAGTCCATACTAGATAAACTGGTCATTGTCTTTCTTGAATCGACGAAGTATTTTTATTTCATTATGTACTTTGGGTAAAAAGTGTGTTAAATTGCTAATGAAGTTTTAAAGTTTTGAATCTACATTGCAGGAAGAACATGAGCAAATTAGGGCGAAAAAGAAGTCGTCAGAGCCTCTAGAATGGAGTGATTATAAGGCAATGCCATTCACTCAATGTGTAAGTATTGTTAATTCTAATACCTAGAAATTACGCTTCGTTTAAACTCATCAGTAAGTTGAGGTACTGCGTCGGACTTTAATAACGAACTATTAAACCTCATGAGATTGTTGTTTAGATCCATACAATGTGCCAAACGTACTTACGACTTGCAGGACTCTAATTCTTGAAAGTTGATCCGACTTTTTTTTGTCTATGTTTAGGTTGTCAACGAGACCTTGCGAGTTGCAAACATAATTAGCGGGGTATTTAGGCGGGCAATGACGGACGTTCACATTAAGGGTAACAACCTTCGTACCGCATAAATAACTTGCATGAAACTAAATATTTTACGAGTTCTTAATCGGTGAAAGTGCTAAAAACAGGATACACAATCCCCAAAGGATGGAAGGCATTTGCATCGTTTCGTGCCGTACATCTAGACCAAGATCATTTCAAGGACGCTCGAACTTTTAATCCATGGAGGTGGCAGGTACTTTTAATTATACATCTCTGCCTCTAATAATTATGTTTACTCATGCTTTTTGTTTTTCAATTTCTAATTAATTATTGTAAACATGATTTTGTAGAACAAATCTGGACCGACGACAAGCCCATCAAATGTGTTCACACCATTTGGAGGAGGGCCAAGGTTCTGCCCCGGCTCTGAGCTTGCTAGAGTAGAAATCTCCGTCTTCCTTCATCACTTGGTCACTCGTTTCAGGTATGCAAAATACAACGTAAACTGCACAAATAAAATCGGTAACAAATTTTTACTCAAAAATAAAACTTCAGGGACACTAAAATGGTAATAAAGCGGCATGAAACAGTGTTTTTGGTATACGGGTTATTGTCTGTTTAGTTTTTCCAGTTCTAGTTTTGAGTAACCGTTTGCAACTAGTTGTATTTGTGCGTATTTCCTGTCGAACTAACGATGCTAATTGTTCATGTTAATTTTGGCAGTTGGGTTCCTGCCGAGGAAGATAAGCTGGTGTTTTTTCCGACGACGAGGACACAGAAGAGGTACCCGATCAATGTGCAGCGGAGGAACAATGTGTCATATGGGCAATGTAAAGAGTAAAGTAGTAGTAGAGCTGTAAGAACCTTTGATCTCCAACCCAATAAAATTTATTTAATTAATTAATTTTTGGATTAGTTTGTAATAACCTTCAGGTTTAGTAGGTGATTGCAGAATTTGCAGGTCTTATAGGTTTTAGCCTATCTTAATGCGCTTTAATTATTAAAAGGAAAAAGATAATCGACACAAAAACTATTCATGAATGAGTGTAAAATCAACCCGAACTTTCCTCTTCGATGCATTCTTCTGCTTGTGTTTGTGGAGAGATTTTTTCGAGCTTACAACCAATGGTATTATGACACCTGGCATATCAGCGGACAGATATTTTCAAGCTTTCAACCAATGGTATTATTACACATGATGTGCCGAGCAATACCGTTCAAAATGGCACCGACTTTAATAAAAGGACATATCGTGCACCGCCATAGGTTCAAAACTTACATCCGGTTACCATAACTTAATCACAGATTCAGAAACAAAGTAGGTCTGGTTTCCCGACTTTTAAATTCAGATTCAACAAGCCTAACCTTTTTCGAATTTTCAATTGACCAGTGAGTTTCTCAACTGAGAATTTCAGATGGGAGACTTGAGATTCTTGCACAGGATCTTTCCTCCTTGCTATCGGCCAACGTTGGTTTGATGCATTGCTTTTCGGCGATTGTGTGTGCCTTCTCAACCTTGCAGTTACAGTGTTAATGGAAGAACGCAATTCATCCAATTCAACTCCTGAGAAGTGGTCTGCTTAGCAACAAAAATGTATGTTAAAAGTGAACAGGTAGTGCTGGCCATGCAAGATATGAAACCACCAGAACCAAAAATGTATAGGCTAATAACTTAAACAGGAGTGAATCATGACGATTTGGGGAACCAGTAAAATACGAAAACAGAAAATTACTGACTACGAACTATTACCAAGCTCCGACTTGAACTCTCACTCAGCTCTGGACAGGCCCAGGCAAGTTTCTTAAACGTTTCAAGCGCTCCTCCAGAAGATTGTGCATCTGGATTGCACTATCAGTTCTGTCCTCCAATTTTGATTGCTTCTCCTCAACTTGCGAGAGCCTCTGTTGTGCAGCACCTAGGCGAGCATGCTGGTCATCAATTATCCTCTTCAAGATGGGTCCATGATACTCGAGTTCAAAGTAAACCTAGAAAATTGGAGGAAAAGTTCATAAAGCAACAAAAAAGGAACCACTTCCCATAAGAAGGTAGTTTTGACACAACTAAACATGGTTTGTATGTGTGTTGCTTGGCATCTTCTTACCTTACATGCATACTCTGCATAATATTCATGAAAGCTTCTGAAGTACTTATGAAGCTTTGGTCGACCTTCAATTGAATCAGCAGAAAGAGAACGCAAACTTGGTGAGCTCCGAGGAAGAAGAACCACCTTAGGTCCAACTAGGAGTTCTTTGCTTTTAAGATTTGGCATATCTTTCTCTTTTGGTTCTTCAAGGCAAAGAAATTTGTTCTCCATATCGACTTGAAGAGGAAGCAATAGGTTCCAAGTCTTCATCTCCAGCACTATACATTCTCGCAAAACAGCGAGTCCCACAATCCATGAACAGGCAAATGAATCTGATAATGCACAAAACCTGATAGCAGAGATTGCGAGGGGTCTTCCCCCTGGCATGTGCTTAGAACAGGATGCACTGATGGAGTTCTCATGGTCTGGTTCTTGCCGCTAATCTGACTTGTAAACGGGAGATAATGCAACACTATTGAATCTAACCCTCCATCATGAAGGGTGTATATTCTTTCCAACATCAGGGGATCAGTAAACATCCTAATAAGAGAACCACTCTTTGCTTTCCTAGGCAGAGCCAGATCCACAATAGCCAATCTCAACAGAGGGGGAGGAAGCCCGAACCAAAGAGTACTATCAAGAGGTTGATCAAGCTTCAAAGGTGATAGCTTGCCTGGAGTTGGCTCACAAAGAAAGAATTCCCAGATGGGTGTCACTGTTAGGATGCCATGAAACTTGCAGTATACGTATGATAGTGTTTCCACTTAAGTAGATTTGTGAACCAACAGGAACAGTCCTGTAAGGTTTCATTTGAAAAATAACAGATACCTTAAGTATATTTACTTTGGAACATTGATGTAGAACTGCGGTAGTATTAGGGTGAACAAGGGTGTGACGGGACCGAGAAGAAGTAAAAGATCGAGGAGACGAATTAGGGGTCGAGGAGACGAAGGGAAAGGGGAAGAAATCAGGGAGTTCTAGTAAGGAGAGTTTTTCATTCATCAAAAATTAAATTAAAAGATTACAATCTGCTCTATTTATAGAGACAAACTTTGAAAAATTAGGAAAGCAATTTAACTAATAAGAAATCCTTTAACAACGGGGAATTCTTAACTAAAATAGGAAAACTAATAAAAGGAAAGCTAATCCAAGTAGAATTAGGAGATGCATTCTGCATCATTTACCAAAATGTCCAGCCAAACCACCACCATGTAGTTCCCAAATAAGGAATTCACGAAGAGAAGTACGAGGAATGCATAATTGGGTTTTCCGAAACAAGAACCCATCCCTTGTAATAAAGTCCACATACTCACGACGGTTACCGTTGGAAACTTCATGGAAAATAATTCCAAAATCTGGACACGACGAATACTCGGCCTTAATACGATCAAACCCAGTGACCTCAACTGTCATTGTGTGCAAAATAGTAGCCACGCGACTAAGGGCATCAGCTGCCTTATTGTCAATGCCTGGACGGTGTCGTAAAACAAACGTAAAGATCTGTAGATATTCAGACCACTTGACATGTCGACTGCTGATGGTGCGTTGAGAGTGGAGATATTTCAAAGCTTGATGATCGGAATATAGCACAAATTCGTTTGGCAATAGGTAATATTGCCAATACCGAAGGGCCTGTACCACAGCATAAAACTCCTTGTCATAAGTAGAATAACGTTGCTTTGCTGCATTAAGTTTCTCACTAAAGTAGGCTACTGGATGTCCTTCTTGGCTAAGCACGCCACCAATTCCGACTCCGGAAGCGTCGCATGCCACTTCAAAGACTTTAGTCAAATCAGGATGTCGAAGAACAGGTGCTTGACTCATCTTTTGCTTCAAAATTGTAAAGGCCGTGGCAGCTGCAGGGGTCCAAAGAAACGCTCCTTGTTTCATGCAATCAGTTATTGGTGCCATAATAGTACTGAACCCGGGAATGAATCGGCGATAAAAAGAGGCGAGACCATGAAAGCTGCGTGCCTCTGTTAATGTCGTAGGTGTTGGCCAACGAGTAATAATAGCCTCCACTTTAGTGGGATCGGTGCTAACCCCAGCTGCAGAAATATTGAACCCCAAAAATAGAACTTGCGGTTGAAGAAACGAACATTTGGGTAAGTTAGCATACAGTTTTTCCGCTCGTAATGTAAAGAAGAGCGAGTGTGAAGATGTTTGAGATGTTCTTCTCGAGAGTGGCTGTATACACAAGGATGTCATCAAAATAAACCACCAGAAATTTGCCAATATAGGGCCGTAACACATGAGTCATCACCCTCATAAACGTGCTAGGTGCATTGGACATGCCAAAGGGCATAACAAGCCACTCATATAAACCATCAGGGGTTTTAAAACGCGGTTTTCCACTCATCTCCTTCACGAATTCGGATTTGATGGTAACCACTGCGAAGATCTATCTTAGAAAACCATTGGGAACCAGCCAAATCATCCAACATATCCTCAAGTCGCGGTATTGGGAAACGATACTTAACTGTAATTTTATTTATGGCGCGACTATCCACACACATTCGCCAGGAGCCATCTTTTTTTGGTGTAAGGAGAACTGGAACAGCACAAGGACTTAAACTATGACGAATAAAACCCTTAGCCAGCAACCCCTGGATTTGTCGATTTAATTCCGCTCGCGCTCAGGTGGGTTCATACGATAATGGGGAAGGTTAGGAAGTTGTGAACCAGGAACAAGGTCGATGGCATGCTGAATCTCTCGTGCTGGAGGTAGTTCATCTGGTAAGTCCTCAGGTATAACATCACAGAATTCCGTGAGTAGCTGCCGTATGGGTTCGGCAAATGGAGTGGGGGTACATTTAGAGACCGGTTTAAGCAAGAGAGCAAAGACCACACCCGTGTCTTGTAGTTCATGTGTAAAATCTACAGGTGATAAGATACTTAAACGATGCTCCGAAGCCTTCCCGTTTAAGGGCAGTGTCGGTTGAACCTCCTTAATTGGTTTGATGGCTGGGTTGGAAGGCTTGAGTGTTATGTTTTTCCCTTCATGTTGGAAAGTATAGGTGTTCTCTCGGCCGCAACTTTTGACGTTACGGTCATAAAGCCAAGGCCGGCCTAGTAGCACATGTGCAACACTCATAGGTAGGATATCACAATAAAGTTTCTCGTGACAGGGACCCAATTGAAGAGGAACAAGACATCTTTCAGTAACAGGTAACCTAGTTTTATCTACCCAGCCGACTTGAAAAGGATGGGGATGTGGTTCGGCCTGAAGATGAAGACGATCGACGGCAGCTTTAGAAATAACATTCAGCGTACTTCCCCCATCAATAACTAGCTGGCATCGAGTGGTACCGCAAGGGACATAAGTCTGGAAGATACTTGTGCGTTTCCATGAATCAGGAGGTGGAGGTGTAGATGCTGAATAAATACAACGCATAACACTCAGTTGTTGCAATGCTTCTTCCTCACAACAATTATCAAGGTCGGGATCATAAATAGGTTCAAGGGGCTCCACATACTCGTCCACACGAGGGTCCTCAGTGTTGGAGCTAATATTTAAAGTTCTGTGGGGGCAACGGGAGGCGATGTGGCCCTTAGCATGGCAACGATAGCATTCGAGGTGAGTAGCCGTGGATAGGGCTGGTCCCTTCTCTGTGGCAGGTACCGTGGGAGCAGGTGGACCAGTGATGCCATATTTGGAGCTTGGATTACTGCGGTTTGGAGCAGAAGTGGAAGGATACCCGGGAGTCCCGGTGTACCTACGTTGTGGCCGCAAAAAGGTTTCAGCTTCCAATGCATGGCAATATGCATCTTCCAAAGTATACGGACGGAACCGACGGACTTCACGCTTGATATCGTCGTCCGAAGACCATGAATAAAACGAGACATGGTGATGTCGGGTTCTTCACGAAGCCCCGCACGTATTTTGTGTTCAATAAAACGAGCGTGGAATTCTGTAACGGTAAAACTTCCTTGTGAAAGGGTCCATAACTGATCATACAATTGATGGCGATAAAATGTAGGAAGATATTGTTCGCGAAGCTTGAATTTCATCTCGTCCCAAAGAGTCACAGGCTGTTGTCCCAGTTGGTATAGTTGCTCCTCCACGGAATTCCAATATTGTCTAGCGGCTCCCTGTAATGTCATCTTACCAATGCGTAGTTTATAAGCATCCGTCAAATCATACCAAGCAAAATAATCTTCCAGGGCTTGGATCCAATCAAGAAACATCGTAGGATCCCCACGACCATCAAAAGTAGGAGCGATAGGTTTGATGTGGCGGATGATCTCGTTGTCAAACTGGCGAGGGGGAGGAGGGTACTGATCATGTGGAGCGGGTGGGAGGTTTAGAGCCTGAGGAGTCACTGGAGGAGGACCTATTGTGTGTTTGAGTATAATGGAGTGGCAGCATAGACCCAGTGGAGCTAAGCGGCATTCCGTAGGACACTGCCTTTAATTTAGGATCCACCGGTGGAGTGGGCAAAAGGCCACTTGGTGGTGGCGTAGACGAGCTTGGGATCACTGTGGAGGAAGACGAAGTTGCAGCGTGTTCAACCCGAAAGTGGTTGATAAGTAACTGAACGGAGTTTTGAAGTTTAGTGATGGCAAGGTCCGTCGTTGAACGATGGGCGTGAGCCTGTACCAACTCTTCTTTGAGGTCAGTGCTGAGTTTAGAGAGTTGGGTTTCTATGCCCGCGATATCGTCCGTGACTTTGTTTTGGAACGTATGACATTGCTCTCTGCAAGGTTGGCCACGGTTTGGGGTGCCATGGCAGGGATCAAACGCCAACGAAAGGGATTGTAGGCTCTGATTACCAAATTGATGTAGAACTGCGGTAGTATTAGGGTGAACAAGGGTGTGACGGGACCGAGAAGAAGTAAAAGATCGAGGAGACGAATTAGGGGTCGAGGAGACGAAGGGAAAGGGGAAGAAATCAGGGAGTTCTAGTAAGGAGAGTTTTTCATTCATCAAAAATTAAATTAAAAGATTACAATCTGCTCTATTTATAGAGACAAACTTTGAAAAATTAGGAAAGCAATTTAACTAATAAGAAATCCTTTAACAACGGGGAATTCTTAACTAAAATAGGAAAACTAATAAAAGGAAAGCTAATCCAAGTAGAATTAGGAGATGCATTCTGCATCAAACATCAAATTATTTAATTTGCAACGCAACCTCCAATAAACTGGAAACTGTATTATACCCACAAGTACATTTCTAAAAAGGAATCACAGGCTACTACATGAATTTCCTGAGCAAGTACTTGATAAAAGGCACAAACTTGTCATCAAAATCTAAAATTAAAAATCAGGATGATAACTTTGATAGCAAGGGAGGGAGAGATAGGAACAAAATAAATCATACTGTGCTCCAAGAGAAGATCATAAGAGGAACCCCATATTTGCGCCTTACGATAATTTCTTCTTTCTTTCCCTTTCCTTACTCTAGTGCGTGCGGGAATTGTAAAAGAAGTTAACACGTAAAATTAAGCCTAAACGAACATGTCAACGTATAATCTAAACCACCATTACAGTTCATTCCCTGCTCAAGCGGCTTTCTAAGACACCCCAACACAACATGTTTAAGATGAAAATGAAAATTAATAACGTATTGCCATCTTCCGATCATACCTGCAAATGGTTGCATTGTCTTTGTTGGAAGTCCACCCCTAAGGTACATAACGCATAGATTACTCGAACCTGAAAGGAGCAATGCTGATCCATTCCTATTGATCGAGATTTTGTGAACAGAAAAGTCGAGCTTCACATCCGGTTGCAGTACCTATTAAATTACGGGCATCATTGACAATGCACTTCAAGATAAGTAAGAAACATATCTCGCAATCATCTTTAAAGAATTATCTTTCCAACTAATTTTCAATTCTTATACAAATTATAGGTTCCAAAATCATCACTTTCTGTTATCATCAAATCCAAGCAAGGAAACTAATTACACTAAGCTCAGCTGAGTACAATTCGAGATGCAATTGCTTTCTTATCCTTCAATTTTCTCAGTAACCAAACAGAATCTAAGAAATTGAAGTTCAAAAAAAATGAGGGAAAGAGAGGAAACCTTGGAAGGGAAAGCAGCGGTGACGGAAGTCGGTTCGGGTTCGCCGAATGGACATCCGATGAAGGCATAGCTTATCGGAGTCCCAGAAGTAAAACCGAGACGCTCCGTCCCAGGCCAAGAGATTTCTGGGCGCCCGAGCCCCGGTCGAGTCGTGGACCGGAGAGGAGGAGTAGACCGGCTGGTTCTGCAGCGGGACCCACTCCACTTCGTCTCTTCCGGGCGTCGGAGACCGGCCCGGCTCCGGTTCCGGTTCCGGTTCCGTTGCCCGCGGGTCGAAGTTGTACCTCATTTTCTATCAGTCTTTTTCTTTCGAGCTCTGAGAGTTGCGGAGGCTCTTTTCGCACTGTGGTTTTGCTTCAAAAAACTACGCCACGGGGTCAAACAGGAGACATTTTTCCAGTGTAATCGATACATCGGATGGTACATCATGTCACGTGTTATTATACAAATGGTTGAATATGTGTGTTAAAAAGTTAATAACTTAAAAAAATAAAATTTCTCACCACTCTTATTAAAATACGTGATGTATCACTTGTGTTCCCGTCACAACTAAAAATTTTCCATCAAACAGAGAGAACGACGTCATTTATTTTGCATTGCACGCGAGGCAATGTAGAAGCGCGCTCTGCATTTATAACGCACCACCCGCCACACGGGCCAAGCGCGGCACCAATAAAAAACACAACACAATATATATTTCAGAATTTGAATTTAAGATCTTTCTCAACGCTCAAAAGAAAAATATCATTAAGTCAAGTTTTAATAAAATAATTGTTAAATTGTCAAATATTAGAATTGGAGAAATGCAAGAGACTCTCTACCACTTTATAATTTAACGTCAATTCTCGTGTCAATATTAGTACTAAAAACATGAGATGACAGAGAGTTCTATTTTGAAATAGTCTTCTTAACATTTCTCTTAGAATTGAATCAACAGTAGATTTTGAGAACAATGAATGAATGTGGCCTTCTTCAAAACCCATGTTTCTGGAGAAACATATGTATTGATAACTTCATGTTTTAGAGACGATTTTTCAGAACCATGTTGAAAATTCATAGGCCAATTCGTGATTTGGGTATGCTACGGTTAGGCACTTGCACGAACATTACAAACTTCGGCTAGTTTCATAAATATTATGCCTTTCACATACAAATTTAACTGTACAATTGTTGAATGTAAAGAACAACAAAAAATGATGGTATTTGCCGCAGCGGAAACCACCTCTATACTCTCTCTACGCACAACCTCCATTTGCACAACATGATGTTGATTGAAGGGGCTGCTTCTATACCTTCTCCTATTTAATTAACAAATCTGCACCAAAACAAAAGCCACATAGATGAGAAGAGATCATAACATAGGGAAACGTAAGGGAAAACGTCTCGAGAAGCACTTCTGATCACACGTGTTTTTATTATTAGCGTTATTTGTTATCTCAAAAATTTAAAATTCTTTTAACCGTTATAAAACACTTTCGAAAATTAACTGCTGCAAAATGAAATTTACCTGTAACCGAATGATCGGTAAGATTGGGATTGGCTAAAAATAACTTCACATGTCGTGTGAATTTACTTCACCCTTTCTTCTTTCAGAAGCTTCTGGTACCTAGGGAACCCATTTTTGCAAGCTGAAACCTGCAAACACATGGCAATTTTCACATCAGCATTTGATAAATCATGAACGTTTTACACTTAATCATGTTATGGATTAATTGGGGATTAGCAGAAAGCACATGAATTAGGGAAGATTTTGATGGCAGAAAGTAGTTTATTTTGATTTGACAATATTTGGCAGAGTCGCTGCAAATGGCATGTGATGAACAATTCAAATGCAAAGGCAAAGCTGCCCATCTCTGTAAACGGCCACCCATCACGCATTCTTCCTCGAATACAGGACTCACTAATATATACTTTAACAATTCGCCAAGAAAACTTGAAAAACTTCCACTTTGCGAGAGTTGAGAGACGTCTATCGTAAGCAGTTTTATTTTCATTTTGTAAAGAGGCTTTTTACGACTCGAATTTGTGATGTTTTGGGTACAAAAGAGCAACATTTACTTCACCCCAAGGCTCACCCTCAAGAAAAGTAAAATTAAAAAAAAGAAAAAAAAGTAAAGAAAAAATGGAAAATGCAGGGATTATGGACAAAGATTAGTATTAATATGGGGGAAGCATCCTAAACGTTTTCAATGCTGCCTTGAGAAAAAAGAATATGAATATTGACCTTCCAGAGGATTATAAATTGAAAATTCAAAGTATTCAACCCTTTCATTATCATTAATTAAATTATTGGCCAAAACCAAAATCAGCAATCAAATTGAAACTTTTAAGCGAATTTCTATGGTAGTGGTTGAACCACAAACATCCCAATTGACTCAAAGGCTTATGCCCAAATAAGCCAATTAAAAATGCTATTTTATAATAAAAATACTTAAAACTCCGTTTTTGTAATACAATATTTACACAAAGGGGTGGGCAAATAATTTGGTGGCAAAATCATTATTTTCGAAATTCGACCCTAATACTTCTTACTTACACATGAAGAAAAACATCATTAGATTGATTGTTATTGCGCTGAGTGAATGTTTTTAATGTGAATTTTGAAGGGGACGGAGAGAATTTGAACTCAGGACGAAGAGGACAGAGAAAACTTATAGCCCTAAAATTGATATGATTTCATTTGAGAAAACAGAAAACTAACGAAAAATTCAGAAAAACTTTAATTTTAATGAAAAATAACAAATAACAAATAAAGGGCTTAGTGAATAGTACTATGGAAAGGTAAAAATATGATTTTTCGTTAAATGTGAATAGTACCGAAAGTGTTTCATTAAAACTTCATTGAGAAAATGGAGATTAGAGAGCAAGGACTTACAGCTTCAATGTCAATTTTGTACACCCAAAGCTTCCTTCTTTCTCTGCAACTTGTTCTATACGCCACCACAATATGCCCAACAGCCAAAGCGAGAGAGCAGATGAACAGAGCAATATCTGTTGCTCTCACATACTCCGCCCTCTCCACACCAGAAGCCCCAAACACATACGAAGCCTTCAATGAAACAAAAATCAGGGACAGCACAGAACACATGGTGGTGATCCCCAAATACGGTCCGTGTGATAGCCCTGGTCCATCACAGAAGCTGTAAACGCCTGCAGATTAAAAAATAAACCAATTCAAATTAACTTCAACATAATCAGATTAGTCGCGAAATCTAATCTACGAGGAGGTGATTCAAACTCGGGCTGCGGTAAAACACGCTATCTTGACCAGTTGACCTGACTCATGTCTACGATCCTAAAAACGTATCTCATGTGACATAACATACCGACCTTGCCAACAAACCTACCTTATGTCTAAAAGCATATGCTTTTTGAACTAGGATTCAAACTCCGGTGTAAAGCGACAGGATCAACTGCTATGGTTAACTTACCCAACTCACGCATGCAATCTCAAAGCGTATGCTTTTTGAGATTCAAACCCGGGTGAAAAGCAACAGGACTGTCCTGGCCGTCCTAGCTAGCTATCCTAACTCATTTCTGCTATCCCAATACAAACGTGATCGGTTGAACGGCAGACCAACTAACCTAACGCACGTCGCAAAGCATAGTTTTGTGCTAGAAATTGAAAGAAAAACAAGTAGTTCCAAAAAAAATAAGCAACAAAAAGAGTCGGGATTAAGACTTACAAAATATGACAGCTGATCTGATGATAGAAATCAACGGAATATCGACGAGGGAGGATCGAAAATCGTAGTTATTGAAATGGGACGACAGCGCTTCAAGAGAAATCAAAGAAGAAGACGAAGAGGCAGAAAGTATAGCCGAAGGGAGAAGCGTATCGGCAATCACAAGCAGAATCGGAGCCGAAAACAGCAGCAGAGAAATCAACATAGCAATCAAGAAAAACACAGTCTTAACCCCCCTCAGAACCCTCTTCGACTTCTCCTCCTTCAAAAAACCCATGTCTTGATTTTCGACTTCGAGTTCTGGGTTCGACTGAAACCGAGGGAGGGAGAAAGAAGGTAATAAAAAGGGGTGGGAAGGAGGGGAAGGTGCGCAGCGCAGGCGTCAGGCGTTAGGCGTAATGTTTTGACTGGACTCGTTTCTTGCTTGATGACAAAGATTGGGACTTGTTGGGACGTAGCCGGTTAAATGGACGAGTCCTCTCTTCTCTTTCTCGGTATTTATCTCGCCACAAGGTTAACGGCAATACCTAAATGCCCCAAAAACGACAAGCAATGACATATTTAATTTCTTTTTATTGAGAAAAAGGGTCCATTAGGGAATCATCGTGTGTAACTTGCCACAGATTGTTTTTTTGCACACGGTGGTGAATTCTAACAGTTGATTTGTCGAGAGTCTTAAATTATTTAAAGTTATATGAATGTATGTGTGTTACACGATAACTTTATCACTAACAATCTATTACTTACATAAACGAATTGTGATCATTGATAATTGCAGGTCTCAAATTTTTCAAGTTTACGTGCACAATAACTTTGTCAAGGATTATTTTCTATTTGTGCGAACTACTTTTGGTCATTGATGAAATATGGGTTTTAAATATGGACTTGGTTGCGTGTTTATGGAATAACTTTGTAACAATTTTCTACGCATGTGAACAAATCGTAATCGTTGTTGCATCATGTGTCTTAAAATCATACGGGTTTGAATGCGTGTCTACGCAATAACTTTATCAAGGACTTATGTTTACGTTGTTGATTAAGTATTGATCCTTTAGGCATTGTGAGTCTTTAATCATTTCAATTTGTGTGTATGCATATTTAATAACTTGTTATCATATGTCTCACACGCGTGTATGATTTTTGTTGCACTATACGCTTTATATAAATCAAAGATCAAGAATCGAGAATACTCGCGTGAACGATTAGCTGTAACATACTTTGTACTCACGCTTTTGAAGTTTATTGCTGTAGTGTTTTGCCACGTGTCTCGTTCGTGGGTCAGTTGTCTAGAAGGATTTAGGCTGTACAATGTGGATAAATCTTATCAAATGGGGAAAAGCCGCCTAACCGAAGGTTTTTCTATTTTTTCTTTTTTCGAAAAATTTGTTCACTTCACTATTTAAAGAACTGCCAATCAATTGAACCGGGTATGGTGGAACCGACCGATTCGAGACCATGTGACCACATGGAACAATTTGCCTTTGCGAATCAAGGGTTTTTAATAATTTTTTGGTTTGTGTATATTTGGGGCTAAATAATTTTTTTAACAAACGATATAATATACATTAAAGGGTGGGAATTGGCTAAACCTTATAATGATCTAGTAATAATGTAGTTTAAATTCATCTTTAACAAAAATCGAACCTAGAATACAAATAAAAAAAATAATATCACTAAACCTTAATATTAAATGATTGAGAGCTAAATACTTTACAATTGTATAATAATTTTCTAATGACCCAGAAAACATGGGATTGTTACTTTGGCATTGGAAACTTTGGTGAATAAATTAAAATTCATCTTGGGA